CAATTTTAACCACCTAGTATCATGTTCGGAAACTCTGGTGGTATAATGGTTAAGAATTCAGCTGCTAACCAAAAGGTAGGCAGTTCGAATCCACCAGGTGCTCCTTGGAAACGCTACTGGGGCAGTTCTACCCTTCCTGTAGGGTCGCTATGAGTCGGAGTTGACTATACGGCAGCAGGTTTGGGTTTTGGTTTTCACATCATGTTCAAATTTGGCACAAATTTTCTTTGTGTCTGAGCAGTTCAGATCCCAGCCAGGAACAAGACCTGAAAAGAAATACCTCATTTGGATACATAGAGATTGATTATAGTACCTCAGAAACATACTGCTGTCAAGAACCTTCAAGGACTTTACTAAATGGAATTATAAAAGATATTGCATATGCCAATTAAAAATTATTTTCATTTCTTGTATAATTTAGTCTCCTAAGAATACTTTCTCAAGACACTTATATTGAGGTAATTTGCTATATTAAGAGAAAAAAATGGCTCTTAGATTGTAACCAAACAAGAGACCAGTGTGTATGGGAGTATGATCTTGATTGAGTTACTTAACCACTCCATGTCTCTGCTGTCTCCTCTTTCAAGTGAGGATTATGTAAGCTCATATTTATGTGGGTTTTTTTTCCAGTCTATGATATATGCTCAGACCGCAAGTTCTGAGGCTTTCTGTAACTTTTTATTATAATTATTGATTACATGTTTTTCTTAGTTAATAATTACACAATGCTCCTAAGAGCAGGAAAAGTGCCTTATCATTTTGGCATCATCTAAACCTAAAAACCTAATAACCCCCATGTGTCTGTCAGTTTGTCGTACTGTGGGGGCTTATGTGTTGCTGTGATGCTGGAAGCTATGCCACTGGTATTCAAATACCAGCAAAGTCACCCATGGCAGACAGGTTTCAGCTGAGCTTCCAGACTAAAGTAGACTAGGAAGAAGGACCTGGTGGTCTATTTCTGAAAAGAATTAGCCAATGAAAACCTTATGAATAGCAGTGGAACATTGTCTGATGTACACTGCTGAAAGATGAGCCTGTCAGGTTGAAAGGCACTCAAAATACGACTGAGGAAGAGCTGCCTCCTCAAAGTAGAGTCTACCTTAATGAGGTGGATGGAGTCAAGCTTTCAGGACCTTCATTTGCTGATGTGGCATGACTCAAAATAAGAAGAAACAGCTGCAAACATCCATTAATAATCTGAATGTAGAATGTATGAAGTACAAATCTAGGAAAATTAGAAATCGTCAGAAATGAAATGGAACACATAAAGATCGATATCCTAGGCATAAGTGAACTGAAATGGACTGGTATTGGTCATTTTGAATCAGACAGTCAATATGGTCTACTATACCAGGAATGGCAACTTGAAGAGGAATGGAACATTTCAAGATTTATCCTGAAGTACAACGCTGTCAGTGATAGGATAATATCCATACACCTACAAGGAAGACCAGTTAATAAGACTATTATTCAAATTTACACACCAACCACTAACGCCAAAGATGAAGAAATTGAAGATATTTACCAATTTCTGCAGTCTGAAATTGATTGAACATACAATCAGGATGTACTGATAATTACTGGTGGTTGGAATGCAAAAGTTAGAAACAAAGAAGGATCAGTAGTTGGAAAATATGTCCTTGTGATAGAAAGGATGCTGGAGATCCCATGATTCAATTTTGCAACACCAACGACTTCTTCATTGCAAATACCATTTTTCACCAACATAAACTCGACTACACACATGGACCTCACCAAATGAAATACACAGGAATCAACTCGACTACGTCTGTGGAAAGAGATGATGGAAAAGCTCAATATCATCAGTCAGAACAAGGCCAGCGGCCAACTGTGGATCAGACCATCAATTATCCATATGTAAGTTCAAGTTGAAACTGAAGAAAATTAGAACAAGTCCACGAGAGCCAAAGTACGACCTTGAGAATATCCCACCTGAATTTGGAGACCATCTTAAGAATAGATTTGACTTGTTAAACACTAATGACCGAAGACCAGAAGAGTTGTAGAATGTATCAAAGAAATCACATATGAAGAAAGCAAGAGGTCATTAAAAAGACAGGAAAGAAAGAAAAAACTAAAACACATCAGAAGAGATTCTGAAAGTTGCTCTTGAATATAAAGTAGCTAAAGCAAAAGGAAGAAATGATGAAGTAAAAGAGCTGAACAAAAGATTTCAAAGGGCAGCTCAAGAAGACAAAGTATTATAATAAAATGTGCGAAGACCTAGATATAGAAAACCAAAAGGGAAGAATACACTCGGCATTTCTCAAGCTGAAAGAACTGAAGAAAAAATTCAAGCCTCGAGTTGCAATATTGAAGGATTCTACAGGGAAAATATTAAATGATGCAGGAAGCATCAAAAGAAGATGGAAGGAATACAGAGTCACTGTACCAAAAAGAATTGGTTGATATTCAGCCATTTCAGGAAGTAGCATATGATCAAGAACCAGTGGTACTGAAGGAAGAAGTCCAAGCTGCACTGAAGGCACTGGTGAAAAACAAGGCTCCAGAAATTGACGGAATATAAATTGAGATGTTTGAACACACAGATGCATTGCTGGAAGTGCTGACTCATCTATGCCAAGAAGTTTGGAGGACACCTACTTGGCCAACCAATTGGAAGGATCCATATTCGTGCCCATTCCAAAGAAGGTGATCCAACAGAATGGGGAAATTATCAAACAATATTATTAATATCACACGCAAGTAAAATTTTGCCGAAGATCATTCAAAAGTGGTTGCAGCAGTACATCGACAGGGAACTGCCAGAAATTCAAGCCGGGTTCAGAAGAGGATGTGGTACAAGGAGTATCACTGCTGATGTCAGATGGATCATGGCTGAAGGCACAGAATACCAGAAAGATGTTTAGATGTTTACCTGTGTTTTATTGACTATGCAAAAGCATTCAACTGTGTGGATCATAGCAAACTATGGATAACTTTGCGAAGAATGGGAATTCTGGAACACCTAATTGTTTTCATACAGAACCTGTATGTAGACCAAGAGGCAGTCATTTGAACAAGACAAGGGGATACTTCGTGGTTTAATGTGAAAAAAAGTGTCTGTCAGAGTTATATCTTTTCACCATACTTATTCAGTGTGTATGCTGAGCTCATCTGTGAAGCTGGACTGTGTGAAGAAGAACATGCCATCAGGATTGGAGGAAAACTTGTTAACAACCTGCAATATGCAGATGACACAACCTTGCTTGCTGCAAGTGAGGACTTGAAGCACTTACTGATAAAATTAAAGACTATAGCCTTCCATATGGATTACACCTCGGCGTAAAGAAAACAAAAGTCCTCACAACTTTACCAGTAAGCAACATCGTGATAAATGGAGAAAATATTGAAGTTGTAAAGGATTTCATTTTACTTGGATCTACAATCAACGTCGGTGGAAGCAGCAGTCAAGAAACCAAACAACACGTTGCATTGGGCAAATCTGCTGCAAAAGACTTCTTTCAGGTGTTAAAAAGCAAAGCTATTACTTTGTGGACTGACCTGGTGCACCTGACCCAAGCCATGGCATTTTCAATCACTTCACATGCATGTGAAAGCTAGATGATGACTAAGGAAGACTTAAGAAGAATTGATGCCTTTGAATTATGGTATTGGCAAAGAATATTGACCATACCACGGACTGCCAGAAGAATGAACAAATCTGTCTTAGAAAAAGTACAGCCAGAATGCTCCTTAGAAGTAAGGATGGCAAGACTTGTTCTCACATACTTTGGACACGTTATCAGGAGGGATCAGTCCCTAGAAAAGGACATTATGCTGGATAAAGTAGAGGGTCAGCAAAAAAGAGGAAGACCTTTGACAAATGTATTAACACAGTGGCTGCAACAACAGGTTCAAGCATAACAGCAATTGTGAGGATGGTGCCGAAACGGGCGATATTTCGTTCTATTGTACATAGGGTCTCTACGAATCAGAACCGACTTAACAACACCTAACAAGAACAACATAGTGGGACTGTTTTTTAACAGAAAATTGAAATAATTAAGTAACCTGTATCCTTTTTTCATTTTCCCTACCATTATTCCTCTGTTTCTCAAATATTCTTACTTACTGTGTTTTTATTTTTATACCACATAGGTATCTTTACAAGAAGTAGATGATTTTGCATGGATCTGAATAATGAAATATATGTATTTTATTATATATTTATATTTAAGAACAAATGTTTTAATTGCCTTCCCTTTCTCTGCAGCAGTTCTGTGTGCACAGGTGGGCTTGTTAACTCTTAGCCATCACTGTAGGACAAGCAAGTGGCCAGCTGGCTTTTTGATGATCTTTTCTCAGACAGTTCACTTTCTTCACAGAAGGAACCACCCCTCGCCAACAGAGTTAAAACATGGCTGCCAGCATTCTGTAGTTGAGCTTGGACTGCGCGGATAAGGAGCTGAGCTCACTCTATTAGATATGCAGATTTCCCATTAATTGTCCCACTTATACTACTATAGCACTTAGCATTTAATCTGTTTGAATTTATCTGGCTCATGTGTTTGCTTGCTTATTATCTGTGTCCTCTTAGAGTCCCATTTCTGTCTTTTCACTACTCTGCCACAAACCTTCTTCTGAGGCACCTCTGAGTGGCCTCAGACTGCTGAACCACTGAACCACCAACCTTTTGGTAGCAGCCAAGTGTGGTAATTGTTGCACCACCTAGGGTCCAGAGCTAACTAGGAGCTCCATTATTAACATGGAACCTTCACTGTTCAGCCAAAATCCTCACTAGTCTTTATTGCCTCCATGACTCTGAGGCCAAGTATCCATTGCCATTTTTATTGTGCTTAAACCGCTATTTACTTACGTCAGGGAAATGGTTTCCTGTTTTCAGCTTTTGCTATCAAGGTCCTCAGTAGAGTAAATACTTGCTGAGTCAGTGAGAAGATAAATGTGCCTCTTTCAACAAAAGCACTTAACATAAATATTTTGTCAACACTGCATGTTTTATGTCTTCTTTCCACCAGGTGCGGTACTGGAGTAACAATGGAGGAGAAGAAGAATCATCAAGCAAAGTGAAAGTGTCAGGAAATGAGACATCAGCCATGCTCCGCGACCTGAAGAGCAACCTGGCCTATTACCTGGCTGTCCGGGCTTATAATAGCGCTGGTACCGGTCCCTTTAGCGCCACAGTTAATGCAACAACCAAGAAAACTCGTATGTATATTCCGGTTTCTCAAATGGCAAGCAACATAGTTTACATTCATAATGGTAGCCTTCTTTATCATTTTAAATGGCCAGTCCAAGTCATTAATCCCACTGATTGACCTAATTCTAACTCTAATCCCTTATAAACACAGAACCACACATATCTTTGTTTCCATAATATCCCTACATCTTTGGGTAGAGACCTCATGTGAAAATGAATGTGCGCCTTTTGAAAAAGCTTAGTGTGGAGTGTTCATTCAAATCTATCTATTTGCCTTTAATAATGTGATAAACGTGGTTGTAAGTTGCCGTTGAGTCAGCTTTGACTCATGGCGACCTTAGTATAACAGAACAAAACATTACCCAGTTCTGTGCCATCTCCATGATCACTGGTATGTTTGAGTCCATTATTGCAGCTATTGTGTCAGTCCGTCTCATTGAGGGCTTCCTTTGCTTTCCTTGGCCCTCTACTTTACCAAACATGATGTGCTTTTCTAATAATTCATCTTTCCTGATGATTTGTCCAAAGTAAGCATGCTGAAGTCTTACCATTCTAGCTTCTAAGAAACATTCTGGCTGTTTTTCTTCTAAGACTAATTTGTTTGTTCTTTTGGCAGTCCACAGTATATTCAATATTCTTCTCCAACACCACAGTTCAAAGGCATCAATTCTTCTTCTATCTTGCTTTTTTGTTGTGCAGCTTTCCCATGCATATGAGGCAATTGAAAGGATCATGGCTTTCAATAATGTGATAAATGTAACTGGATTTATTTTCATATATTTTAAGTTCCCTAAAACTTGAGGATTTCTGATAAGTATGAATAAGCTAAAATCCAGGCCAAAGAATCAGGAGTAATTTTTTTCTTCTTTTTTTTTTTTCTTTTATTTAAAAGATGGCAGTGTATGTTAAGAGGTTATCATCAGAAGATGTTGATCCACTTGACTTATTGCTACTTTAAAAAATCTAACCAGAGACATCAGTGTTGTCTTCAAAACTGAGTCTTTGTTAGCTATGCATTCACAGGTAAATTCTCAAGCTCCAATTTCGAGTTACACATAATACGACTTTAAATTAGTCTACAAGAAACTCCGTTCTTTGCAATTTCCTAGTCTCCCACAAATATTTAAACTGGCAGCAAAGATACGTGTTTAGTCGCAGTATAATATTGCTACTTTATCACAATGCAGCCTTTTGCATTGGCATCACTGTCATCAACATCAAACCAACCAATCCAAACCTGTTGCTGTCAAGTCGATTCCTACCCATAGGGACCCTTTAGGACAGAGTAGAACTGCCTATAGGGTTTCCAAGCAGCAGCTGGTGGATTTGAACTGCCAACCTTTTGGTTAGCAGCCCTATCACTTAACCACTGCACCACCAGGGCTCCTAGCTAATAGCAATTGAGAATGTTTTATATACAAGTGCTTTATAGACATTCCCACATTTAATATTTGTAACAACACAATGAAGTAGGTACTAGTATTATTTTCATTTAAAAGGTGAGAAAAGTGAACCGTGGAGTGATTAACCAGCTGTAGTATAATGATACAGTGATTTTACTTACTAAAAAAAAGTTTTTTTGTCTTAATTTATTTCCAAAGTGTATTAATTCACTAAAAGTGTTTGCTTAACTGGCTTTATACAGGAATGAGACTCTTCTGCTAGATGGAAAATTTCATTAATGCCATGCTACATTTCATGTAAGCTTCCCAGATTTTTATAGCATACATTTGTTGCTAAAAACCTGAATAATAAAAAAACCAATTCTGTTTATTCACAATTTTGTGATTATCATTGACTAGCATTGTTGTGGATAATTGAAAATCTGTATAAAACATCATTCTACCACTTTGGATTTTAATCTGCCACTGTTAATTTAATCAGGGAATCTTAATGTTTATTTTTGCATTATCTATAGAAAAAAGAGTTCGACTACCAGCTTACTAGTATAATAAGCATTAAGTTTATCAAAAAATCATTTTAATCCCTTTAAAGCATGCATTTGCAAGCAACCAGCTAATGTGACAATTAAGCATCACCTTTAAGTAATTATTAGTGAAAGCCTGACGCAACCTTTATTCATAACATATGGTTGTGGTTAGACCAAAGAACATTCATTTGGGTTTAAAAATACTCAAACTGAAAATATTCTGTATTTAGAACTTCTCACTAAATATGTTTGGTCTTCCCAATAACAATTCTAGTTTAAATATACATCATTATTTGTATATTCAAAGCACAACATCAGTCAGAAATTCTGATTACAAAAATATATGCAAACAAGTTTATCTGGCTCTTTCCTCTGACTTAATAATTGATGTGATTACATGCCAGGAAATTATGATTGTAAAAGACAGTGTGATATCATGGTGGAATCGGTGAAGAACTTACGTGAATTGTTAAGGCAAAGGAAAAGGAAGAGATGGATTATAAATCAACAGAAGTGTCAAGATAATGTACAATGAATGAAATAAAATTTTTAAAAGAAGCAAAAACTCTTTCATAACTTAGAAATAGCATATAAATACCCAATCTAAAGTAGAAATTTGCACATGATGACAATAGTGATGATGATGGCTAACACTGAGCATGTTCCTGTCACTGTCCGAAGCACACTTGATGTATTGATTCTTAACTCTCACAGCAACACCATGACTTGGAAGCTATCAGAAGCTTAGCTTTAGAGATGAGGAAACTAAGGCACGCAGAGATTATATAACTTGCCCGAGATCTGATAGGAGACCCTGGGTGGCACAAACCGTTAAACAACTATTAGCCAAAAGGTTCGTGATTCGATCTCACCCAGAGGTGCTTCAGGAGACAGTCCTGGCAATCTGCTTCTGAAAGGTGACAGCCTTGAAAATCCTATGGAGTAGATCTACTGTGCACGCATGGGGTCGCCATGAGTTGGAGTCGACTCAAAGGCAACTAACAACAACAACAGGACAGGCGTCCAACCCAGGCTTGGTCTTTAAGTGTTTTCTTCTCTTTCAATGATACAATTAGAATATTCGTGATTCATTTAGCTTAAGGTAAATGATTTTGCTCTGCACAGTCACTGGCTAAGGTGATCAAAGATAGACAGGACTCCTGAGCTTATGGAGCTATAGTCTGATCGGAATACCAACAATTAAATAAAATCCCTCCAAAAGTAATGCTCTCCTATTGCTGCAATTTAACTAGAGTCTGCATATTGATCTGTCAGTGTTATTAGGGAAGAGTTTCCTACATTTGGTGGTAGGTTCATACAGATAATTAAAGTCCATAATCATTTTAAGATTACATATAAAGGACTTGTGTTAATTTTTAAATTGTGTGTTAAAAATAATTTCCCAAACATGTACCAAAATATAAGCAAAAGAATCTGTTAAAGAAAACCGTTTCTAATACGGTTTCTGGTAGCTCTTAATAGTCATTCTTGACATGGGTTTAGTTTCAAATCCTATATAGAATTTTGGGTGAGGCTTTTGTTATTATCATTATGAAGTAAATTATTCTCATGCCTCGGGCATAAAGAACTAAAATAGCATTTTGGAATACTTGCTTGCAATCTGTCTTCCTCTCTGGATTGCAAGCTTTATGGGGAAAGAGTTCTTCTGTGCCTTGTTCACCCAGCTCCAGTGCCCAACCCAAACACGGCACATAGTAGCTACTCATTAAATGTCGAATGGATGGCTGAAGTGAATAAACCTAAAGAAGCAGGCCAGCCTAAAGCACTATTATTAATAAAATGCATGTTATGAATTATTGACTACTCATTGTAAATTCAAAAGATATGCTGTAGGCCTTTACCATCTTGCTTAAAATGTGCGAGTTTCACACATTCGTAATCATAGAATCCTGTATGCAAAGCTTTATGGCAGTACAGATCTTGGGTGATATTTTTGCTTAATGTAAAATAACACAAGGATTCTCAAGTACATTAGCTTCCATTAAACACTTAATTTTTGACATCCAAATACTCGTGTTTTTAAAAAGCATTTCTGAATTAAATACTAATTAGCCTCTTAAAGTAATCTAAGCTGGTTTCTGTCACTTGCAACCTAAGGGGAGCTAACTCTAAACAACGCCTATCTAAAGGGACCGATAAGGAGAATTTGCAGATGGCTTATGAGTGATAAAATGTATTGGATTCTTAAATGAAACATATTGAGAGGTTTATGCTCAGAGTTTGCAAGAAGTAATACGTAGGGAAAATATTCTCGTTTGTATAACTGAAAAATTAAGTGATAGTTCTAGCTTTCAGTATGGATTGATACAAGCATGCAAATAACATCCTCAAGAGCTGTCTAGTAGGATCTCAAAGGGAACATTTCTAAAACTGAGTTCTTGACTTCTCCCTCTGCCCCATTTAAAACCTGTCCCTTCTACAGTCTTCCCTATCTCAGTAAATTCAATTCTGTTACCTCTGTTGTTCAGGCCAGAAATCACAGAGTCACTCTCAACTCTTTTCTTTCTCTCATACCCTACAACCAGTCCAGAATCTGACCTTCTAAATTTATCCAGAAGCTACCATTTCTAATTGTATCGGCTTCAGTCACCCTTGGGCAAGCTGCCCCATGGATCAGGGCAATGGCCCCTCACTTCTCAACCCTTTTTTGCCCCTGTTTTCCTTAGGTCATAGTGAGGCTGATTGTCATTCTTCTGCTCAGAACTTTCTGATGGCTTCTCATCCCACTCCAGATAAATGCCAAATCCTTAAAATGCCAGGCAGGGCCTCATGCAGTCCATCTTCCAATTCCTGCTGCAATTTATTTCCTACTTTTCTCCACCCTAATCATTCCATTTTTGAGCAGGGCCTCTACATTTGCTGTTCCCTCTGCCTAGAAAGCTCTTCCTGCAGATAGCCACGGGGCATGCTTCCCCATCTCTTTCAGGTCTTCACTGTCCTGTAACCTCAGGGCCACCTGGTCATCATATCACAACTGCAGCCCCTCATCTCCTGATACTCCCTATCTCCTTCACTGCTTTATTCTTGGGCACACCAAACATACTATATCTTGTACAT